AAAAAAAAAAAAAAAAAAAAAAAAGGAGAGACTGAGACAGAGAAAGTGGGGGATGGATTGGGGGAGGGAGGTGATTCTCCGCCCCTCCCCCAATCACCAGCCTTAACACAGCGAAGCAATAAAAAGCTGCAGTATCCACTTCCTGGCTTTGATTTCTGGTAATTTTAAAATATGCCATTACAATCAAGCAGAAATTATACAGTTTAAAAAGAGAGTGAAGTGGGGCTTACTGCAGGGATGAAAGTCCTTGACTGCAGAACACAGCACAGCTCCTTGGGGACCTGGGACGTGAGCAGGTGGCAGGAATAGGGCCACCCCCCAGCGTCCCTGGTCACCAGCCTGGAGAACACACCCTGGCATGTGGGCGTGACAGGCGGGGCATCCGATGCACATGCTCCCACTGGAACACACACGCACCGTTCACCTTGGGACACTCCCTGCACCTGCAGGCAGTCCCCTGGGGCGCACCTGGAAGGCCATGGACCTTTCCTGCTGCAGGGCTTTGGCCACCCTAGTGCAGGGGTGAGGGTCAGAGGGCAGAGCTGCACAAACCAGCCCACGGCCTCCCTTCGACAGATGGGAAACTCAGGTCAGAAGAAAGCAGCCCCTGCCTGGGCCACCAGCAGACATGGCTAGGGAGCTTGGCCCACACCGCTGAGCTCTGCCACTGCCCAGAGGCCAGGAAGAACAGAGGCGGGAGGCCCGGGCCCTGGAGTGCAAAACAGATGTGGGGGTGGGGGAAGCCTGGACCGCCCCCAACCCCCAGGGCTTGCTGTGTGACCCCAGGTGGGCAACTGCCCCTCTTCGAACGAACGTGAAAGTCACTCCAGGATCCCTACGAGCCCCCAGAGCATTTTCTTCCTAGGTCTGGCCATGTCCAGCCCTCCCTCACCCTTTCACCAGGTGCCAGGGGCCAGGGGCCAGCAGCCTGGCCCTCGCCAGGCCCACAACTCCATGGGCCACCAGTGCCCGCAGCTGGCCGTGCAAAAGGCTAGGCCAGGCTGTGGCTGTGAGGGGCGAGGGCAGACTGCCTGCTGTACAGCCGCTCCAGCTGCCCCTCGCTGGGAGCTCTTCCGGAGGCAGCACCAGTAGTCGAGCAGAGACACCAACCAGAGATACCAACGGAGCTCAGGTTGCTGGAAGACCAGCAGGGAAGGCCCTGCCAGAGAGATCTTTACATTTGGACAGGAGCGGTTTCCTCCCCTTTCCTCTAATTCCCCCATTCCTGTCCTGCTGCTGGGGCTGGTGGGGGAGATCCGGCTGGGGGATGGGCCACCACTGCCAGTTTCGGAATCAGCCCCTCATCTACAAACAAGACAAGTCAGAGGCTCTTCTGGCCTGGCCAGCTCATCTCCCGAGGTTCCCTCTGGACAGCTCTCATACCTCCTCACCTCAGGTCCTCCGCCTGCAGCGTCAGCCTCATCCCTGTCGGTTTTAGCTCTGTCCCTTTGACTCTGGCCCAGGTGTCTCCTCCCCTGCGTGTCCCCCATGTCAGTCCTAATCACACCAAGCTGTAACTACCAATTTTCACGCCTGTCTCTCTCTCCACTGGACTGAGAGTTTCGGAGGGGCAAGGACTGTGTCTTATTTCTTTCTCTCCTCAGTGCCTGCCAAAGAGTAATCACTTAATAAATAGGTGTCGAATGAGCGACTGCATCAATGAATTGGTTATTGTCAGATAAAGCAACTGAGGCCCAGAGAAGCCAAGCATCCTGCACAAGGTCACACAGCAAAACCTAGGACAGGACTGGGGCCTGGGACGCCACCCTACCTCCTTGCTTCGTGGCACTGTCTCATCTGCAGGAAGCCAGCCTCCCAGAAACCCACATGGACTGGTTGCTCCCCAGGCAGGGCCAGGGACCATCCAGAGCACTGTTCATTTTGAAACCCTATCTGCAAAATCTGACTGTTTATAAGCTCAAGGTCTTTTGTGACTTTAATAATAAAAAGGGGGAGAGGGAGGGGGAAATGTCGCAAGCCTCAATGATTAGAATGCTTTGGCACCATCCCTGACGTGGGGGCTGATAAGACGCCTTATCTCAGAGACACGGAGGAAAAGGTCCCTCCACCAGATAACGCCCCCAGCTGTCGATATGCCCTTTCATAGCTGAGGATTTAGATAAAGGAAACGTGACGGGGAGGGGAAAGAGAGGAAGGAACTTTGCAAGTCCGAGGAGGAATTGAGTCTGCTGCTCGCCCTGGCAGAACAATAAGCGGGAGAAGGGATGTCTAAGGGCTGTCTTTATTTTTATGAAAAGAACAGAGAACTGCGGCCTTCGGCCCGGCCTGCCTTTTGTCATCTCTCCCTGCCTGTCTGGCTGCAGAGGCTGGTGGGAGGAGATGACTTGGAAATGGCAATGTGGACCTCAGTACTGTAACAGCTGCCGGCACTTACCGACCGCCCCACGCCAGGCCCCTTCCTTCCACCTCCCTGACCCTCTGCCGTAGCGTCTGTGTTTAGCCGTATCTCACAGATTAGGAAATGGTCTCAGAGAGGGGCAGCAACTGGCACAAGGACACATAGCTTTTAAGCGGCAGAGCCCAAGGGCATCGACAGATTCTGAACCTCAGCCCATGGAATGGCGACTCTGTAAGGCCGGGGGTCCATCCGCCCCCATCTCCAGTCAGGTGGGCAGGGAGAGCGGCAGCCAGGCCCCACTACTCTCCAGGGCCCCAGTCCACTCTGATTTCACCGGAGTGCTGGGATCGCAGAGGGGGAGACGAAGGCCACAGGGCGCAGGGGCTCCCAGGCGGCTTCCCATCCATCCCCTGAACGTTCAGCGTGCACACAGCGTGAGGCCTGCACTGGGCAGAACGGTGAGGACGCGAGCGTGCCATGTCTTGCTCATTTGGGTAGTGAACACTTGCCCGGAATCTTCTGAGGGCCACTCCTGCGGGACGCTCTGGAGTATGGAAATCAGCAAAAATGTCCTGCCCAGAACTGCCCTCCATAGCTAAATCCAGCCCTGGCTAGAACCAGACTTTGCTGGCCTCTGCCCTCACACTCCAGCCTTGCCCACAGCAGCAGGTGGGTGGGACTTGCCCTCCTGTGGGCCGCACCCCCTCCGCAGGCTGGGCCAGGGCAAGACTGTGCCCCTTCAGCCTTCATCCTCCCCCTTCTGGCTTCTGGGGCTCCCCTTCAGGCCTAAAACCAGCTGTGGCCAGGAGCGGAAGGTCATACCAGGCCTTTCCCAGAGTCAACAGGACTAGGAATCCTGCTGGCCCCGCAGGCTCAGGGTGGTACTGGCCAGCCAGCAACTAGGTACTGGGTTCTGATCAGCTGAGTGACCTTGAGGAAGTCACTGCACCTCTCTGAGTCTGTTTTCCTGGCTGAAGCTTACAGGAGACGGAGTGAGCTGACTGCATGAAGGACACACGGGGATCGTACCGTTTGATTTTCAGACACAAGATATACACAAAATACAGATCCTCGGCCTGTCGGTTAACAAAAAGGACTTTGGAGTCAACCCCATCTCTGAGGGATTTGGAATCTTGATCTGGGATGAGATGGGAAGCTGGAAAACTCCAGTGGTTTGTGCAAAAGCAGACTGGACAATGTGGATGCTGAGTTCCCTGAAAGGAAGTGGAGGGTAAGACGGTGCCCGTCACTCCTCCGGGCCTCACGGCGGGCACCTTCCCACTCTCCACGGCTGTCACTCGAGTCCCCTTCTCATCACACTGTCCTGGCCACACAGCCGCCCCAACCCCAGGAACAGGCTGAGGGGATGGTGGGAGGCCAGGATCGAAGAGGAGATTGAACTCCAGACTGGGGCGCCGAGGTCAGAGCCCAGCTGTGTGGTCCTTGGAAGGTCGCTTCTCTGGTCAGTCCCTAGTACCACGAGCCAGACCGGCCCAAGCCTCAGGAAGCTGAGTCCTCTCTCAGGAGGAAGGGGCCAGAAGCCACGTGCCCTTGACCAGGATGGAAGGGGGAGGGACCCTTACTCAGGAATGACTGGGAATCTGGGCACAGTCCCTCCCTGCCTCCCTTTGGGGCTCCCTTGACAGGAGGATCCATTGTCTGGCTCTTTCTTCTTCGCCTCCTTGTCCTTACGTCTCCCTCCCCTCCTGCCCTGCTGTCTTTCTCTCCCCTGCCTGACCCTTGTCCCTCTTCCCTTCCTCTGCACCAGTCTCCCCATCAGTGTCTCTGCAAGGCAGCCACAGCAGAAGCCCCTCTCCTGCTGCTCCCTCCCCCAGCCCTATTCCAGAGCCTGAGGCCTTCCAGGGGACCCTGTTAATAATTAAATGTTAATCTAAAAAGCAATTTGAGCTGCAGCTAGGAAGATCTGGTTAGAGATTACATTAGCATGGAGGAGGCCAGGGTAATTTTCTTTAACCCCTCTCCTGATCTCTCCAGCGGGGGAATCTTCAAGTCACACTGCACTGCTGATTAAACCGGCACCGGGCTTGGCTGTGGATAAGGGGCTTGTGAAAAGTGATTATTTCCCACTGCCATTTGGGCCACAGCACCAGAAGGGGATTTTAAGGCTGGGGGTGGGGGAGCACTACTTCCTTCAACAGGAGGCCTCATCTCCCACCAGAATCACTGCAGCACCCATGCTCTCACCCTCACCCTGGCCAGAGGTCCCCCTAAGATGTAAATCTGGTCACTGAGCATATTTCAGACAGAGATGCCAGCCCCACGCATGCTCCCACGCCCCTCTGTTTAGTCCCCTCTTGCTGTTTCTGTCACCTCACCTGGGCCTGGTTCTGGGCTGGACAATGGAGCCAGAGATGCTGTTAGCACTGGGCCAAATGAGAGACCAAAATGATAAAGTGATCATCACGAGCTCTGAGTGGCAGCTGGAGTCCTCTGGTGGGTCTCCCTCAACACCCAGCTCTCCCACCTGCACGCTCATGCAGTCCTTTCTGCTCATACTTTTCCTGGGTACCCCCACACCTTAAGTTTCTACCTGACCTTCACTGGAATACCAGGTTCCTCAGGACTGGGCACTGGACCCGGAGACGTTAGAAGTTCTGGGCCAAAGGAGAAACCAATAAAAAAAAGTTACAGTCACAAATTCTGGATGGCCTATAAAATACATCAGGTGTATAATAAATACATGCAAAATAGTCCAGTGAATGGATTCCTGATGTGGTTCTGCCCAACCTTCTATGGGTTCACAGTGTGTTTCCAGTACCTATGCATAAGAGGACCCCAGGAAAACATTACCCAAAGAAAGGTGGGAAGAGGCAGGGCTCAGGAAGTGTCCTGTTGGGACACAGGACTGGGGTCTGGGGCATGCAGCTGTCCCCGTGCCCTTCAGCACCACGGCCAGCTCCTAGCGCCTGAACAAGAGAGGGGTGGGGCCTTCAGGGAGCCTAGTGAAGTCAGCCACCATGGGAACTAGCCTTGATGCTATCTGTCTTCCTCAGTACTCCAACCTCCAGGGACAGCATGACAAACACCTACTGTGTGTCCTATGCTATATCCTGGGCAGTCACAGACTCCTGGGTGTGTGGGAGGCACCAGAGGTTTAATAAGGCAGAAGACAAAGGGAAGCCAGGATGGGGCCAGCCCAGATCAGCGATGGCGAACCTTTTAGAGCTTTCAGTTATAAAATTAACGGCTAGCTGTGGCACCCGTGCCATGGGTTTGCGGTCACTGCTCCAGATGTTTCCTAAAGAGACTGGCGCAATCCCATTTGGACTTTAGAGATCGTTGCCTGATTTGTATCCCTAAACTAATTCCCAGATTTGTTCCTGAAAGCTGGCTTTGGGCAAATGCCTCCATCTCTCTGAGCATCAGTTTCTTCATCTGAAAAAGGGGTTAATTCATTACCACGAATGTGCCAAGGTCATGGGTGCTGTCTAAGGGGGCACGACTATTATCATTTAGGATCATGCCGTGCAGATGAGCAGGAAATAGCCAAGTGGAGGCACCGGAGAGGGGTTCCCGCTTGAGCCTGCATAGACAAGCAAGTGCTTGGACACAGGTGTGAGGGGTGGCAGAGCTTGGGCTGCAGAGGGCAAATGTCTGGTGAGGACCAGACAGTGCCTCTTCCGGGGGAAGCCTGCCAGGGACCCAGCTTCCAGGCATGGAGACCTGCTTTGCTGAGGACAAACTCTGCTTCAGGGCAGGGAGAGTCTCAGAGAAAGAGCAGCAATGGCTGGCACCAAAGAAGGCTCAAAAGCCCCCCTTCCAGAAGAGAGGAATGGGCAGACTGGTAACAGACCTGGCTGGTCCCACCACCCTGCCAGAGCCACGGCCCTCCAGCAACGGATCCCAGGGACTGGGATCCTCCTCCTCTAACGAGCCTGTGGGAGGTCCTGGCAGGGAGCGGGACAGAATCTCAAACCCTTCCTCTGCTGTAGCCTCCCAAAGTCTCCTCCCCAGAGTCAGGTTCTGAGGTGGGGAGTGTGGGGAGAATGACACTGTTCAGTTACTGGGGGCCTCCCCTGCCCTAGTTCTGGCCTTGGCCATCAAGTCACCACCCCATCACCTGCCAGCAAAGGTGGGAGGAAGCTGGAAATCGATACCAGTATCAGCATCATGACACAGTGGGTAGGGAGCCCAGCAAAGAGACCCCTCCAACCCAGTATTTTTGGAGGGAACCTGGGTCTTTACAGAGCAGCAGCATGTAAATGGAAACCAGAATGGAGGTGGCACCAGGAGACACCAGACAGAATGGGTCCCCAGGAGAAGGAGCACTGTGCAGAGGCAAAGAAGAGAGTGGGGTGAGAGGGCCTCAGAGCCCCCAGCCACCCTCCCACCCCGCCCCGAGTCTCCACACCCACAGTTCAGGGTTAAACCAGCCAACAGGGAAGATCTAATAGTAAGAGCAACAATGGAGCCA